ACACGTTCGCCTAGCGAACCTGCTCGCGAATCACACTTCTGAGCTACTAGAAGTGTTCGCTACCACCTCACTGGGACTTCGCCTCGCGAATCCTTCGCTACACCTCTCACTTAGCGAACCTGCTAGCCAGTACAGAAAAATGGCCACTGGAATGGCTCGCGACCTAGCTCGCCTAGCAAGCACCTAGCGAATGCTCGCTACTTGTCGCTACTGCGAAAATCGGCGCCGGCTGAACAGAAGAGTCGCTACCGCGCGTTATTTATCCCACGGGAGGGAAAGGAAACGCTCAGAGTAAACCTCGCACAACACGGGAAAGGTATGGTCATCGCAACCAAAACCTGGGTTCGGGAGTCGGTTACGCAAGGGGAAGGTATTAGCACCCCTCACGTCCATCGTACTCGATGGGATCCACGCTTGTTTTCGGGTATGGATTATTATTCTATCTACTCTAAAGGTCAGGGGTTAAAAAGAAAGAAAAAAGTGACTCGGCAAAGTATCACACTTTATGCCTACGTATTCCCGCCTGGAACGAGAAATCAGAGTCAACGTAGTTCGCCTACCTACGGGAAAGGAGGGAAAGGTTGCTCGCTAGGATATCGCATCCTATGCCTACGTACTTTCATACAGCATGAAAGATCAGAGCAAACGTAGTTCGGGCCACGTACGACACAAGCTTGTCTTGGTTGATTTTATTCCTTCTGAAAAAGGTTTTCTGATCAACAGTTCCAGCGGACAAAAATGACGCTTTGATGAGTTCACATTCTTTTACGGAAGAAGTGTCTTTTATTGTGTTTGAAATCTTTATGTGTTTTTCTGTTTGTTTTGAGGAAGAAAGAGACAGAACTCTAAACTACGGTTGCGAAGGGAAACAAACTAACCTAATGTTATCATGCATGGGTTAAGACCTAGTGTCTATCATGCTCCTCTCTTGCACAGAGAGAAACAGAGATCCTACGGGATAGGCAGAAACAGAAACAATAACAGATATAATAAAGCAGTAAAATGCATGGATGCAACAGTACAAGCGAGGCAAGGGAGTCCCACTCAACCTCGAACCTAGAAAACAATAGGCAAAAGTGAACAGACTTCACTTTCAACCCAGCAGGGTAAACAGCAAACAATACAGTCCAGAAAACCAATCAATACATCAGAAATGAAATACAGCAATAAAACAAACAGCTTCAGCAGCTCTGAATCAACATCTGGCTTCAAGTAATCTCCAATCAGCTATGAGCTTCAATCAGCAGCAGTCTCTATCTTCATGGCCTTCAGGTAAGGGCTTTGATCATCAGTCTTCCATCTGCAATGGCTTTTCTTCAAGCTCAAACCTCCAGGATGAGGAATCAGTCACAAGAGTGAATTGGGTGTTAAGCAATCAGTTGACTACCAAGGGTGGTGAACAGACTGCTTCTAACACAAAAGACATTTTCTCTCAAGAGTTCTATCTCTTAGACACTATCACCAAGCCTTCCAAAGGAAGGGGGTGAGTGTCTTAGAGAGACTCTGAATCACAGAGAAGAATGGATGCAGACAAGGCAATCCATGTTTGAGAAACAAGCTTTCTAATCTAGAGCTCTACCTAGCTCCTAAACCCTAGTCTCTCAGCAGCTGCTAGCAAGAACCTCCTCTTCAACTCTGGAAGTTGAACTTCAACATCTGAATCTCCAATGGCTTCACCTTCTCAAGTCTTCAGCTCTCCCAAATCCCCAGACAATCCCAATACCCACACAGACAAATCAATAATCCCCAGAGGGCACACCACACCAGTCAATCAGATATACAGTACATTAATAGCAGTAGGGGAGTCCTGACTTTTTCTCTAAGGGATCTAATAACTACCCATAGCCCCTATAGTCCCATAGCTAACCTATTCAGTCTCTAAGTCCTAAGGGAAATGAATTGATTCTCCTAAGTCATCACCTAAAACCCTAATTTGTTCATGTTGTTCAAACCTACACTAAACACCTAAATTTAATTTCTAAAAATGGGAACTAAATTGAATCTATAAGTTCAAAGTCTAAACTAAACAACCTAAAAAAAATGGACAAAAAATATTGAAGCATTTAATAGAACAAAAAATAACAAAATCATGCATGAAATGAAACTATTTAAAATGCTCTTTATTTGAAAAATATGGGAAAAATATCAAATAAAAAATAAAATGCAATTTTTATTTTTTATAATTTTCTAGACATCCTAAAGAAAATAATGCAAAAAGAATGAATTAAAAATGATTATTTTGCTATTTATTGTGAATTTTAGAAGATGCATAAAAAATTAAAGAAAATAAAAAGAAAATAAAATGAAATAAAATGGAGGGGGTGTGAATAGCAGGGGTAACACGTTCAAAACATTGGGCTTATTAAAATGGGGGGTGTGGATAGCGCTCTGAGCCCAACCCCCCAATTAATGAAACGCAGCGTTTCAATTCTTTGGAAATTTCCCTCCGCTTTCAACATTCAATCGTGGCCGTGCGATGAGGGGATTAAGTCAACACATGGGAAGGATCTGAGGGCTGAGGGTCATCGTCCCCAACGAGCCCTAGGGTTTCTGCAAATTCTTCCTCCATGCACAGAACTTCTAATCCTTCTTTCTCCCTAATCTCTCCATGAAACGCCAAGATATAAACACCAAAGTTGATCTCCTTCTCACGTAGAACATCACTGTATCCATAGTTTTCAACATAACAGCCTAGATTTCCAAATTCGATAAACATCACAGTTCTGATTCGCCATTGTCACCTGTTGTCGCTACTCGAAAAATGCATCGCGCAACGACGGGGAGGCGAAAAGGATAGACAGAAGAGTCGCCACCGAACTTTATTTATCCCATGAGGGGAAAGGAAAATATCGAGAAAACCTTAAGAAAGAAATGGATAAGATGGTCTCGCAACCAAGAACGGGTTCGGAAGCCGGTTATGCGAGGGGAAGGTATTAGCACCCCTCGCATCCATCGTACTCGATGGGAACCTTTTGTTTGTCGATGTGTGAATTTATTTGCTTAAACATTATGCTATAAGAAGTGTTCCACGGGGTAAAAGAAGGGTTAGAAACAAGAAAGTTAGGAGGAAAGAGAGAACGGGGAAGAAAAGAGAAAGAACAGACTCGGTAGGACTTCGCAGTCCTATGCCTACGTATTCTCAATAGATGTGAGAAAGTCAGAGTCGACGTAGTTCGGGGAACTACAGATATGAGGGGAATGTGCTCGGCAAGGATTGTGGCCCTTGTGCCTACGTATCTTTACTTGAAAAAGTGAAGAATCAGAGCAGCCGTAGTTCGGCCTACGGTTTGCGGGGAAGTCTTAGTAGACGCTGCTATCGTGCGCATTCTAGCAGTTAGGTGTATTGCTGCTCGCTCGTTGGAGACTTAGGCGTTACCTGTTTGCGGTAGAACGGACGTAGCATGCCTTTCTGGGAAAGGGTGAAAAAGAAAAAGGGTGCTCGCTAGGATATCGCAATCCTATGCCTACGTATTCCCATTATGCATGAGAAATCAGAGCAACGTAGTTCGTGCCTACGGTAACTGGTGTTTTTGTGGATGATGTTATCGTGCGCATTCTAGCAGTTTAGGTGTTTTGCTGCTCGCATGTGAGGAGACTTATGCGTACCTGTTTGCGGTAGAACGGACGTAACATATCCTGTTTGAAAGGTTGGTTTTCGCCATGTGAGGCAAGGTATCATGTTTGATTGGTTGAGATTGTTTTTGGGGCGAGATAGGTCCTCGGATAGTAACCCCTACAGGTAGTACCCAATTCTTTATCTCAAAGTTTTTGTTGTAAAAATGTGTGGCGAACGTAGCGTCTTCGTATTGAAAGACGAGTATCGAGACCACCCCCACTACAGTGAGCATCCCAACACTCGGAGAGGAAGAAGACTACACTTAATCCTCTCTCTTTAGTTCAACACAAAGAGAACTTCATTCTCTTATTAAAGTGTTTTTGGTTTTGAATGGTAAGTGCTTTTTGCGACAGAGAACCCTACGGTAAACGTCAGCACTCGGGATAGGAGAAGGCCTACGCCTAACCACTCCACGACCATTCAAGTTTTTGTTGCGAAAATGAGTTTGAAAAGGCACTCGGTACAGGACCGAGGTTTTAGGTGAGAAAGGTGCGGAAAGAAGTTGTGAAAGGAGAGGTAGTGGAAGAAGTCGCGTCTTCATATTGAAAGACGAGTGTCTAAACCACCCTCACTACAGTGAGCATCTCGACACTCGGAAAGGAGGAAGTCTACACTTAATCCTTTCTCTTTAGTCCAATACAAAGAGAAGTTGATTTATTATTGAAGAGGTTTGAAAATGGACTCGATACGGAACCGAAGTTTTTTAGGAGGAGAGGGAGTGGCGTCTTCGTATTGAAAGACAAGTATCGAAACCACCCACACTACAGTGAGCATCTCGACACTCGGAGAGGAAGAAAGTCTACACTTAATCCCCTCGTTTAATTCAATACAAAGAGAATGATTTAAAAGATAGTTTAAAAGGGACTTGATACAAAGACGAGGGTTTTTTAGGATATGAGAGACTGAAAACGTCTTCGTATTGAAAGACGAGTGTCGAAACCACCCTCACTACAGTGGGCATCCCAACACTCGAAGAAGAAGGGGTCTACACCCAATCCTCTTTTTTTAATGCAATACAAAAAAAATATGACTTGAAAATATTTTCGAAGTTACACTCGGTACGAGACCGAGGTTTTAGGAGGATAAGCGTTGGAGGCGAAATGGTCTCAGATCCAACGTTATTTATCAACAGTTTGACTTAATAACGATTTACGGAGGTCTCGTCATCGACCCAAAAGGCAAAAATGCCCAATAACAAAAGCGAAATAAAATCTACTTTAAAAATAACAAAAAGAAAATCCTAAACTCTAATATTATAAGCTAATAAACTATATAATATTTACAAAAGAAAATAAATTTTAAAATTTGAAGATAATTAGAAAATGTATATATACATATAGTAATATAAAAATATATATAATAGAAATTATAAATATAATATATTTTAAAAAAAAGGTAAACGAATAAAAGATAAAAATAAAGAAAATAAAAAAAACGATAGAACACTCTTCTTCTTCAACTCTTCAATTACCTTCTCCGATTCAACCGACTTCTTCACAGCCAAATCTTTACCCTTTTCAAGCTCTTCAACCCTTCTTTCTCTCTCGAGTTTTTCCTCCAACAGATGCCCGACTTCCAACCTAATCTTCTCCATATTCCGCTTCTCGTTCTTGAGACTCAACACAAGGTCATTCACCTTCTCCTTCTGAAGATCCAACTCGTACTTGGTCTCATCCCTCTCCTCAACAACCTCAGAGATTTGAGCTTCGACTTCCATGGCGGCCTGGTTTGAATGGAGAAGCGACTGAGTGCGGTTTCTGTGGTCGGTGGTTTCTTTGAGAAGAACGGTGTTAAGGTTCTTGAGATTCTGAATCTGAACAGAAGAGTCATCAATGGTGGTTGGTGGTGGGGTTAATGTCTTGTGGTCGAGAGATTGAGATTGGGCATGGGTAACTTTCTTTTTGGCCATATCTGAGTGTTTGAGAGTGATTGAAAGATGGGGATTAGGGTGACGATTGAGGTTGGTGAATGATGAGTTACGGAAGGTTTTGATTTTGAAGGTGATTGTGTGGTTCGGTGGGTGTTTCGCGAAAGCTGATGAGTTGCGATTTGGATGGGTTTTGAGATGGTGAGAAATGGTTTCTGGGTTATTAACGGTGGCTATGAATGTGGGTTTGAGTTTGCTGAAGAAGATGGAGGTTCGAAGTTTGAGGTTTTGGTGAAATTGAAGATTGATTGGGTATAGTTTACAATCTTGCTCACCACATGCTCGATGAAAGTAGTGTTAAGGCTTGGATGGTTGTTGAAGAGTTCGCAGTGAATTTGTGATGAAGATGGATGCTTTTGGTAAGAGATTTTTATGAAGACTGAAGGAAGGAAGAGGTGTTTAGGATGAGGATGAATGGGGTTCGAAAATCGTGGACAGAGGTGGATTATGGTTGAAGGTTTGTGGAGATATGGTTTGAGTTTCTGAAGGTAAATGCTTTTGTTGTTGTGGAAGTTTGGTTATGGAACTCTTTGGTTATGGAAATAGAAATTTTAAAAGATATGGAGGAAGGTGTTGTTGTAGATGTTTGAATGGAGGTTTACAAAGTGGTTTGTGATGTTGTGACAGTGAGTATGAACATAGCAGTGGTTGTTGTCACAATTTTATCTTTAAGAGTTAAGTGTTGAACATTGTTGTGTGGTTTGTGTATGAAGAGTTCCTTGAAGAGTTGTGAGTTAATGGTGTTTACATGGAGGGTTGTGGTTCTGCCCGTTTTTCTCAAAGGTAGGTGGAGTATAAAAGAAGAAGGAGAGATTGTTGATGAAAGTGGGATGGAAACGGAAAACCGAAAATGGCAAGAAGGAGAGGTACAACTTCGTTTTCAGGAGGAAGGTTGTTGGTTTGAAGTTTCATATGGTGTGATTTGATTTGCTTGTAAGAGTTGGTTTGTGAAAGTGGAAGGAGTGAAGTTGGCGGGAGGTTTTTATTTTCTTGATTTTTTTGAAGAAGAAAAAGGAGCCCCTACAGTTGATGAAGATTAAGTGAATATAAGCTGAAAGTGGGAGAGCAGGGGTTCATCCAAAGAGATTTTTGAAAGTTTGTTTTCAGTCTTTTTTTCAATACTTGTGGTAAGTCCTTTTTGTTGCTCTTGGCATATTCTCTTTCCATCTGCTTCATACCATTTTTTTGTACTGTCTTAATACTTTTTGCGTGTTGTTCTGTGTAGTGGTTTCAGAAGGTTGTTGCTGCAGCAGGTCCCTTTTTTATTGGTTTTGTTTTGTTCTGTTGTGGAGCAAGAAGCAGGTGAAGCAGCAGGGTTGTACCAACAGTATTGTCTGGCGTGCAAGTTTCATTATGGGAATTGTTGTACTAGGTTTCGCGTGGCTTGGTTTGTGGTATGTTTGTTGGTCTGGCATGGAGGAGTAGTAGCAGGGTAGTGTGTGCAGAGTATTGTAGCAGGCTAGTGTGTTTGTTGGTCTGGCATGGCTTGATATTTTTGTCTTGTTGTAGCTGTGGTGCAGTTTATGCAGGCTGGTTGTGCAGAGCTGCCTGTACTACCTTCTCATTTATGTGTTTCTTTTGCTGCATTGCAGGTTGTCGGTTCAAATTATGTAGTGATAGCAGAATGGTTTTTTTTTGGAGTCTTGTATTGGTTTTCTTTTGCAGGGTCTGATGGAATCAATTTGTGGTTCATTCCTTCTTGCAAACTGATATGGCTGTCCTTTGTTTTGTAGGTGTGTATTGCAGAATTTCAAACGGTTCATGGAGTGCAGATAGCACCTGCTGCGAATGTAGGTCGGTGGGCAGTGTATGGTGTAGGGCGGTTGTAATTTGGAGCTCTGCAGAATTGGAGCAGGAAGTGATTAATGTGGTGCATATGCCCGCGGTTGGTGGCCACACAGAACGTGAATCACGTATTGTACCGTTGTTGCCGCAATTGAACGAAAGCCGGTTTTTGCATGGCATCACTTGGAAGCCAGCCGCCGCTCACTGTTTTATACGGTAGCTGCGTAAAATTTTGCACTTGTATTATGAGGCAAAGTGTGCATCAGTATGACAGTTTTTCTTATATTGCAGGTGCTGCTGTCAAAACGGTTCTTGTCATTGCTAATTGAATTGGTATGCGGAATCGATGTTTGTATCTCAATTTGGACGTCAAGACTTTCGTTGCGCGCCTAGGACCATGGTTTTCTGGCTGCCATACATAATTGTGGGTAAGCTTTGTGAACAGAGTTGCATGATGTTTTGAAATTTGGATGGTCTAAAATTATACTGGTTGTGATCCTTGTGGTTTCGTGAGGCTGACATGGTGCCAGGAATTTGATGAGAAATCAGGTTGGGTGCTAATACGGAACTTCCTTGTTCAGTTTGCAGGTTATATATCAAAAATCATAAATTCTTGTTGGTGTTGCGTATCACGTTGACGGTTTCAGTTCGTGTGAGTACCTTCTGATCATGTTCATTATTTTCAGATTTTGATTATGAGCACAGTATGGAAGGAAAACCGGCGCGTACACGCTGACTACATGGAGGTTGAAACACTACAGTGCGCTTTAGGAGGTGAATTTTGCCACAATATCAAACTTGTTGATGACATTCTGGGTCTGTTATAATAACAGGTGTTGCAGGACTTGATTCTCTAGCCGACTGAGGAGATATTCAATTGTCAACCATATGATGAATGATTTGGCCTAGGCAATCGGTCTTGTGCATTAATTGGTTTAGCTAGGCATAATTTGGTTGTATTTTCTCTGAGCTTAAACATTGTATATTTCTAATGTTTTGAAACCAAATTGGATCTGCAAAATAATCTCATCTTCCATTTATTTCTTACTACTTTGAAAAAGTATGACTTATACTTCAAACAACCCACTTAAATTTCTCCATCATCGCTTGGGTAGTATTAAAACTTGGCAAGTCGTGGGAAATCATGACTCCTGTTTCTACATATGTTTCTTCATGAAAGAATGCCATGGCTTCTTTTTTTTTGTATGTGAATGAAAAGAAACCATTAAAGACAATGTTAACTTTCGAATTGAACTCTCACCCAACACATTGATTTGCCATTTAATCCCATCTTGAAAAGAATGCTTATATGGACAAGACTAAATGATTTGCTTTGGAAATGTATGGGTTCCGTGGGCGATCTATCTTCAAACCATGACTTGTATTGATACTTTGAATTCTTTAAACATATGCAAACTTGGTCACTTTAGTCCTGAAATTTTAGACAATATGGAATTTAATTCTCTCGCCACATGCCTTATTATGTCTTGAACAAACCCTTGGATAAAACTATGCATTTTGACCATACAACGGTTGGGCTATTTATTATGCGTACGGTCTAAAATCATACACCCATTCTTTGCATCAATTCATTCTCAACAATGATCAAATGACCTATAGCATACACTCGGAGCACCACCAGAATTCATCTTGGAACATGACTCAACAATGGGATATGACTTTCAGATGAAAAATTTTTCTCTTGGCCTTAAACATATTTATAAGGGCACACAAAACTCTCATAACCTAAATTATAGAGGATCGTGACTAACGTCCAGATAATCACCCGCAAAGCTCAGTATAGAAAAGGTGAGGAAAGGTGGGACAAATTTAGGGTACGACAGATGCCCCTATCTAATTGTCTTGAATCTGAGGGAATGAACCGCTGCATAGCATTCATTTTTCAAGGTAGAAGTCAATTAGATACAAAGAAGACCCTGAATTTGTCCAAAAAGAAAGGAACTGCTTGGGAATGAAGCATGATGGATATCTTGCAAAGATTGCTAACACCAAAGGGATGTTAACAGAGAAAACTTGACACCAAAAGGATGACAAGCCTATCACCAGAGGAATGATAGTACACTCACACATACTGCTCTGGGATCAAAAGAAAGTAAGGGATCTACTACCAAAAGGATAGCGGAAAACACGCTTGTCATGACACCAAAAGGAAGTAAAGGACCCACTATCAAAAAGATAGTGGAAAACACGCTAGCCATGACACCAAAAGAATGCCAGACCCATCTCCAAAAGGATGATGGAGCGAAATAAGATCAACCCTAACACCAAAAGGATGTAGGGGATAGATAAGCTTCTCCCAAGAGATTGTCACTTATCACTGAAGATGGATAAGCTTCTCTGAAGAGATTGCCACCTATCGTTGATGAAGGATAAGCTTCTCTGAAGAGATTGCCACTTATCACTGAAGATGGATAAGCTTCTCCCAAGAGATTGCCACTTATCGTTGATGAAGGATAAACTTCTCTGAAGAGATTGCCACTTATCACTGAAGATGGATAAGCTTCTCCCAAGAGATTGCCACTTATCGCTGAAGATGGATAAGCTTCTCTGAAGAGATTGCCACTTATCACTGAAGATGGATAAGCTTCTCTGAAGAGATTGCCACTTATCACTGAAGATGGATAAGCTTCTCCCAAGAGATTGCCACTTATCGTTGATGAAGGATAAACTTCTCTGAAGAGATTGCCACTTATCACTGAAGATGGATAAGCTTCTCCCAAGAGATTGCCACTTATCGTTGATGAAGGATAAGCTTCTCTGAAGAGATTGCCACTTATCACTGAAGATGGATAAGCTTCTCCCAAGAGATTGCCACTTATCGCTGAAGATGGATAAGCTTCTCTGAAGAGATTGCCACTTATCACTGAAGATGGATAAGCTTCTCCCAAGAGATTGCCACTTATCGTTGATGAAGGATAAGCTTCTCTGAAGAGATTGCCACTTATCACTGAAGATGGATAAGCTTCTCCCAAGAGATTGCCACTTATCGTTGATGAAGGATAAGCTTCTCTGAAGAGATTGCCACTTATCACTGAAGATGGATAAGCTTCTCCCAAGAGATTGCCACTTATCGCTGAAGATGGATAAGCTTCTCTGAAGAGATTGCCACTTATCACTGAAGATGGATAAGCTTCTCCCAAGAGATTGCCACTTATCGTTGATGAAGGATAAGCTTC